TTTGCTAATTTTAACTTGGTCTTGACCATGCTGCCGTGTAATTGTCTAATTTAAAGAGGAAGATCTGGAATGCTGACCAGCTTTTCCATCAACTGCCTTTTTTGCCACCCTCCCCTCAGTACCAGTACAAGAAGAAGTATGAGAAGAGTAAAGGCCACTACCACACAATACCTGATAATCTGGAGCAACTTCATCTAAAAGAGGCTACAGAATTACAGAGTGTAGTAAGTGGATTGAGACTGACTTTTTCCCCAATGCACATTCAACTACCACATCTGCAAATTTCATAGACCTTCCAGAATAGTAGTTACACTTTTAGCAGCTCCACTGAGAAAATGGTCAAAGACACAATAGACCTTTGAATGTAGTAACATTTTCAACTACCTTTTTGATATTTTAGATTATAACTACATCTTTATATACTGGAGAAATATTTCATATGCATGCAATATATGCTACTCAGATTACTGACAGGGTACAGAAGTATAAACTATGTTCCTAGAAGGACGATGATACTCCTTAAAGTACTCTCAACGTGTCCCACAGGTCTTTGGCTAGGTTAGGAAACATTACAATGGAAAAAGGGAATCTTTAGAAGGATTTTAATCAGAGAAGTACTGTGATCAGATCTGCCCTTGACAGATTTACCAGGTCTAAATTTGTAAAAGAATTGAAATGTAACAAAGAAAAGAAGCTACAGGAAGCATGTGCTTTCACATGACCACCTATATAAAAAAAGACCATTTTGTTTGGGTCTCCTGTTAGGTATTGATCAAGAAGACTACCTTACTAGATATGTCCTTGTATCATCTGCAAGTAGCATGTGCCGGAGGCCTCTATTCTGTGGACCTTTAAAATCTTGCTAAGGCCAAGAGAGTTGATACCTGAACATTACCATTAAGAGCTTGTGTGAAATTCAGCAAGGGCCTTTGCCTTTCAATTTCTCCTCTAAAATATGAGTATTTATTTGACTCCTTGTTCCTAAATTCATGCTATTTTGGTGATGAAATTGCTTTTGTGAAATAGTCTTGGAAGTCTTTGAAAATATATTTTCATATTTAAACATGTGATCAGTTATGACCCATAGAAAATTATTATAAATGGAATTGTTTTATTATTCATCAAATCAAGACCCCAGATTTCTGATAATTATTCTTATTTAAAAACAACAACAACAAACTGGACATTTTAAATCAGAAACATTAACTAATATTGTTGTTAACATGTTAACATGATATCCAGTCTATGGATATCAAACCTTGATCAACCTTGTTTACTGGTGAGTAATTTTCCCTAAGTATTTCCTTGCATCTGCATTGTCAGCTGATCATTCTATAGTGATTCTTTTGTCTCCTTGAACTGAACAAAAATCTTAATTATGCCATGGAGGCAATAATGGTGTTTCCCTTCAGGAAATAACAAAAAGGTACTGGATCTGAAACATGACAAGACACTTCTACATGGTGATGAGATGCCCCTCGATTGGACATATTTGATCATTAACTCTAAACAGGTTTCTTTCAAGGAGTTAGCTCAAGTTGTGGTTTCTAATAAGACCTTTTGTCACCAGGTGAAATACAAAGAAAAATATGAAAAGGAACGAGGGAAGCCCATGTTGGACTTTGAAACACCAACATATATCACTGCCAAAGAATCTCAGCAAATGCAGAGTGGGGTAAGTCTTTATCACCCACATATACCATCAATCTGATGAAAATAGATGCTGTCCACACACACAGAGCCATTATTGGTAGATGATGTCACTTTTTAATATGTGATCACTAACATTATTTTTATCTTAGAAATCCTGTTTCAGTTATCAATAATACCCTAACCAATAGATTATTGCCATATTTGGTTTATTTGAACTCTTAGTTTTCACAGGATTAGAGCAGCAAACTATTCCTTAAATAAAACCATTTATATTGAATAGCATTTGACTTTTTCTTTGATGAATGAAAAGGCCCCTTTATGTAGTTATGCCATTGGCATTGGAATGTGCTGTCCTTAGAAGTATGCCCCAAGACATTAAAAGAGAATTAATACTCACAATGTTTATCAAGATTCCAGAAAAAAAAGTTAAGGTGTCATATTTCCTATTCTAGAATTCTAAGCAGAGATAAAATTATTTCTCTTATTCTTTTGAAAACCAAGTTTAGAGAACATTTAAATCTTATTTGAAGCTCAGAAAATCTGCATTCAGTGGGAAACAATTTTATTTTTAATTTTTTAACCTTTCCTTCATGTACAATGTCTCTAAATATACAGTTTTTAAGAATAGGAGTTTATTGAGCTAGGAATGCCAGATAACTAAAAGTTTAAGATAATTTTAAACAATGGGTAACTCTGAATAAGGAGTCTTTAAGGATTCCTTGTCCTGTTCTTGCAAATATTCTCTAAATTATATATATATATATATAGGCTAGCTCTGGTGGACTAGTGGCAAGAAGTTGCACAATCCCAGAGGTGTGCGGTTTGAATCCACCAGATGCTCTGCTGAAGAAGGAGGGACAATCTCCTCCTGTACCACTCAGATCTGATTTGATGGTACACACACACACAAAAAATAATATAAAAAATTTAAAAAAATATCGAAGTAAAAAGCTACAAAAAGGTAATTCCAGCATCTATTCTAGAATTTTCAAAGATAGTCTCATTACAAGAACTGTAAAGATGGGAGAATTTGTGGCTCTTTCAACAATAGGCAAAACTAACAAATATTTCTTTGCTTCAATGTCTAGCCTCTGAATGACTTAAAAAAAGTAGCTCAAGATTATGAAAAAGGCCAAGTGATTTCTATTTTATTTTCTCGAGTTCCCTTTCTTCTAGTATTTTTATTTTGGTTTTTGGGTTGAGTTTTGTTTTTTTTTTTAATAATTTCTTTGTAATTATGAAATGGAATTTTTTTTGTCACATTGGGAAAAATATAGAGACAGTCTAGTAGCAAAGACTTTGGTGTCTAGATGGCACTGACCTCATCACATTTTGGTTAGCCCCAGCTACAACGTTACAAGGATGAATAGAGTCCGTAAAAGTTTCTCAAACTCGGTATTTCCTTGAGGCCCTTTACTGAAGACAAAATATTTAGAGAACAATCAGATGTGTTTCACGTGTATGTTCATGATCCAGAACTCTGACCAGGAGGCCATAAATAGAAAATGTTGTAATATTTTTTTCTCCCTAGGAATAAAAAACAATTATCATAAAGATTCTTTTCATTTGTCTTTCCTTCCTACTCACATTAGAAAGAATATAGGAAAGATTATGAAGAGTCCATAAAAGGCAGAAACCTGACTGGCCTGGAGGTCACGCCAGCTTTATTACATGTCAAATATGCCACCAAAATAGCCAGCGAGGTAGTGCCCACTCGGGCTTTCCTTTCCCTCTTGACCCAAATAATTTGCACTAATGACACGCATCAGTGTGTTCCTTCTACCGTTTTCATCACCGCCTAACTATATGGGTTTCAGGTTGGGTTCACATGTGTTTGGTATTACTGCCTAATCTATTACCCATGTTAATTCTCCTAATTTTTTTAATTGAATATCTAATAAAATGTGCTTACCTTAGCATTTTATTAATTTTATTTTTTACTTGATATTTTAATATTAACTGATGAAGCTTATAACCTATCTTTTTTTGGTATCTTTACTTACTAAACTTTAAACTGTTTAAAATTTAGAAAGGTTTTGTTTGGGATTTTGGCTCTTTATAAAAGTAGAACAATTTGGGCTTTCACGTCATTGTTGTCGCTTTTACTTTGTGATATAGAAAGAGTACAGGAAAGATCTAGAAGAAAGCATCCGTGGTAAGGGCCTCACTGAAATGGAAGATACCCCCGACATGCTAAGGGCAAAGAATGCCACTCAGATTCTCAATGAGGTAGGTCTACAACCAACAACTGGAACATGATTAACACCAAAAGCAAAGAAGAGGTCAGAAGAAATTTTTTTTTAATTTCTAATTTCATATCCAACATGATTACTAACAACTATGTAAGATATATCTCTGTTTTTGAGGGGTTACTGTACAATAACAACCTGCTTTTAGTGGTCACCATAGCTACATAGTTATTGATCTTATATTATTTTCCTTAAGTTTGATGCATTCAGTGTTTTCATTCAAGCAAAAAAACACCACACTGGTGTTCTATGTAGCCCATTTTCATCCTACTTATGTACCAAATCAGATTTAAAACTAGCTTTATACTTTAATTTTTTTAAGTAGAAAATATTGAAAAAAAATTCTAAAGAGTCCTCATTTTGAGTCATGTTGACATGAGCAGAAGAGTTCATTGAAGTTGACTTCTGTAGTCACCATTCCATCCAACACTTAGAAGGGTGAAAGTACAAAATAGCAGGAAAATACAATACCTGGGATCACTAAGATGGCACCTTGTATGGATTTATGTTCACTCACCATGCTAAAAATTTAATTAGTAATGGAGGTTGTTGTTATTATGTGCTGTTGAGTTGCTTGTGACTCATACCAACCCTATGTACAGCAGCTCTGAACCCTGCTCTCTCCTGAGCCAGCGTTATTGTCTGTGACACACCTACCCCCATTAGCCCAGTCACTGAGTCAGTCCGTCTCATCAACGGCCTTCCTCTTGCGCTGTCCCTCCACCCTCCCAAGCTTGATGTCCCTCTATGCAGACTGGTCACTCTTTGTAATATGCCCAGTGTGTTGTTAGACAACTTTTCCCTCCCTGCTTCCAATGTTCCTATAGAAAGACTACAAGAGAGACCTGGAGCTAGAAGTCAAAGGAAGAGGCCTAAATGCGATGGCCAATGAAACTCCTGATTTTATGAGGGCCAGGAATGCTACTGATATTGCCAGCCAGGTAAATGTTACTATGCAGTGTCAATATGGCAATCTGTCAATAAAATAGTTGGGGTTATAAGGACAAAATATTGTCACTCTGTATATTGTCTGTCTTCAATTTTTGTCATTTTTATACAATATCTTTCTGGATGGTGGTATCCATTCCAATGAAAGATTCAGGATCCTTTGCCAGGGCTTTTTCCATATGCCTTTCTGAGCCTGTAGCCACTGGGGAAGTTCAGAAGTTGAGTAACCAAATAGCTGCCTGGAGTTGGAATGGACTCTGACCTTCTGGTCTTTTTAGCCCTTGTTTCTTAGTCAATACACTCATCATTTGACACCGAGAATTCTTTACTTGGGAGCTCTTTCTTTCACTCCTCTTAAGACCTAAATTAAAAATATGGTTTCTAAGGATCCTACTTTGTCTAGTGTTAATTGCTATATGCCTTTTGCTTACTTTTCCTTCTCCAAGCTCTTATGTATACAGTTCATAATTTACTATCTGTTGTTTATCTCTATCCTTCTTGTTCCCAACTCATATCACCATCATATGGCCAGATAAACTCTAAGTCTCTTAACAGCCAAGACTCAATGGAATCGTAGTCTTTCATGTGAAGTTTAAACACTGTAGGCAAAATATCCATTGAGTGTTAAATGAATGAATTCTCTTGGGAAAGAAATACTGATCATCTTTTAGCCAAAGCAAGCTGGGTAATTTTATGAATGTGGTAAGCATCTTAACCAACTTTTGGGTGTCCTTTTACAGATTAAATACAAGCAATCAGCAGAAATGGAAAAAGCCAATTTCACTTCTGTGGTTGATACTCCAGAGATCATTCATGCTCAACAAGTGAAGAATCTTTCAAGCCAGGTGAGACTATCCATAAGCATATCACTCATACACCCCAATCATGAAGAACCCCAAAGAATAGTCTTTATCACCCAAACATAGCCTTTGGAATCACAATTTTGTTCAATAAAGAAAGGGATTATGAAACTGTTATACAAATTTAAGTTAAAGTTGGGATTTTTATATGATAATTAAAATGGATTATACAAGGAAACTGTGTCAGAGATAATGAGGATAGCACAGGATAGGACAGACATCAGCTCTGTTGTTAATAGGGTTGTTATAAATTGTACTCAACGTGACAGCATCTAACAATAAAGTCTGTCTTGGAGCGAGTGCAATTAAGGTGCTCCTTAGAGGCAAGGCTGGTAAAACATTGCCTCCACATACTTTGGACATATTGCCAGGAAGGACCAGTCCTTGAAAAGTGACATCATGCTGGGAAAGATGGAGGGCCAGAGAATGAGAGGAAGACCTTCAACAAGATGAATTAACACAGTGACTTAATTCAATACTTGAATGGACTCAAACATGTCCAAGATGGTGAGAATGGCACAGGATGAGGGCAAAGTTCAGATCTGTCACTGTGCCACAATGAGTCAAAGCCACTTAATGGCACTTAACGACAACAAACAACTTTTACATAACACTAGTAAATATATGCTGCTGTTGTTGTTGTTGTTGTTGAGTACCATCAAGTCAGAACTGACCCATAGCTGACCTCCAGCAGGTTTTCAGAGGCAGTTAATCACATTGGAAGAGCTTGCCCATTTGGTCATATAGAATCTCTGATAATGTTGATGTAAGATTTGTGTATGAAGATGGAAGGAACAAATAACACATATTTATTATTATGTACCATCAAGTTGAAATCCACCCACAGTTGACCTTCCAGCAGGTTTTCAGAGGTAGTTAATCAAATGGGAGGAGATTGCCCATCCTTCTCCCACAGAGCAGTTGGTGACCTTGAACCCTATACCTTTGGGATTGCAGTGCAGCTTCTTGCCATTAGGCCACCAGAGCTCCCTTACATAACACAGATTTGGATTATCTACCTATGTAATGGGATTGAGATTCTATCATCTGCACTAGCTCCATTGTTGTTGTTATGTGCTGTCGAGTTGTCTATGATTCATAGCAACCCTATGCACAATATCTCTGAACCTCACTTTATCTTGAGCCAATCTCACTGTCTCTGACACACCTACCCTCATTGCCCCAGTTACTGTGTCAGTCTGTTTCATCCAGGGTCTTCCTCTCCTGCACTGTTCCTCAACTCTTCCAAGTATGATGTTCTTCTCCAGAGACTGTTCCCTCCTGGCTACGTGCCCAAAGGATATAAAACAAAGCCTCAAAATCCTTGCCTCCATGAAACAAAGCCTCAAAACCCTTGCCTCCAAGGGGTAGCTTTGTTTCACCCTGTCCAGGAGATACCTATTAGTTCTCTTGTCATTCCATGGTATGTTCACTACTCTTCTCCAGCACCACAACTCAAAGACATCTATTCTTCTGTCATCCCTGATTATTGTCCAGCTCTCTAATGTGTAGCAACTATTGCAAAGACTGTGGCTTGGATCAGGTGTTCCTTAGTTTCTAGACTGACATAGTTTCTCTTCAGCACTCTGGAGAGGTCCCAGACAGCAGATTTTCCTAATGCAATTAATCTTTTGATTTCCTGACACTGGTACCAAGAGTGTTGATTGTGGAACCAAACAAGTTGAAATCTCAATCTCTTCTCCATTTATCATGATGCTATCAATTGACCCAGTGATGAGAATCTTCATTTGCTTGATGTTGAACTTTAGTCCATATTGCAAACTACAGTCCTTGACCCTTTGCACTAAATGCTTCAGGCCCTCCTCAGTTTCAGCAAGTAAGGTTGTGTCATTTGCATAACACAAGTTGTTTATGAGTCTTCCTCCAATCCTGATGCCATATTCCTCCATTATTTAACCACAATTCTGCACAGCGATGAAGAAAAGTAGCAGTCCCTCATGCATCAAGATATACCACATTGTTTCAATCTTCAATCATAGTTGGGAGTCTGAAGTTTATCTTTTAAATTAGCATTTTTACTTACCTTTTGATTAATGCATCTTAGAGTGATACATGCTCAGCTGCTAACAGCAAGGTTAGTGGTTCAAATCCCTTCTATGCTCCATGGGAATAAGATGCAAGGTCTTTTATGTTAAGACTTAAAACTTCAGAAATCTGATAGAGGGTTGCAATAAAATAGTGCAGACTCCATGGCAGTGAAAAAAAAAAGCAACAAGTAATTAACAGGCTGTGCTTTATAAACAACTGGGAATATAGAATCCCTGATTTCACCATGGATATTTGATGATAGCAAATATGAGCTAAATGTGCAGTGGTTAGCCCCATTCAGCTGCTAACTGTCAGGTCAGAAGTTCTAATTCTACAGCTGCTCCATGAGAGAAAATATGACCTTTTGCTGTTGTAAAGATTGTTGTTGTTGATTGCCATCAAGTTGCACACCATAGTGACTCTATGAACAAAAGACCTGAGAATTTTCTTTAACTATCATTTCTCCAAGTTCATAGAGTTTCCAAAGGCATGGGTTTAGGAAGTAGATGCCACTCCTGCTCCCAAACCTGTCTTAAAACTGGGAATTACACCAACCATTGTCCACCATCAGCAGCCGTTATGGCATTTGAGACCTCAGTGGCACAAGGTTCAGAATCACAGCAAATCCATATTACCTCAGCATGGCAAATTTACAGAAGAGTACTGTACAACTAAGAAGACTGTTCCTTCAAATTATAGCAACAAGGAATTGGGCCTTCCAGGAGGTATTGCTGACTCTAAACAAGAGGGTTAAATAAAAGCAATACAACAATCCACACAGATCCTCAACCAAACCAAGAGCACCATTATATGGAGTCCAGCCACTTCATCCAAATCCAAAATGTAAGACAAGGGCTTCTAGTACTTCTAGTCCATCTAGTACTGACCCTATAAACAAAAGTCTTTAACCTTAGGAAACAGTCAATACACTAATCAGAGGTCAATTTATAGCAATAAGCAAACACATCAAAAGGCAGGAAAAAATGACCATTGACTCTGTAACCCAACATCTCCAAAAGATTGAAAAAGAACAGCAAGAAAACCCAACACCCTCTAAAAAACCTGAAATTATAAAAATTGGGACAGAAATCAATGAAAACAGAAAACAGAAAAACAGTGGGGACCATCAACAAAACTAGGAGTTGTGTCTTTGAAAAGTTCAATAAAATGTATAAATCACTAACAAAAGAAAAGAAGGGAAAGACACAAATAATCCAAATAAAAGGTGAAACAATGTCACAAAAGAACCAACTAAAATCAAAAGGCTAACAATGGAATAGAATGGAAAAACTATACTCAAACAAATATGAAAACCTAGAGGAAATGGAAAAACACTTAGAAATTCACAGCCTACCTAAGCTGACACAAGCTGAAATTGAACACCTACGAAATTAAAAGGTAATCAAACAACTTCGAGCCAAAAAAAAGCACTGGACTAGATAGTTTTACAAGTGAATTTTATCAAACATTCAGAGAAGAACTGTCACCAGTTCTACACAAAGTATTTCAGAAAATAGGAAAAGATGGAATTCTCCCAGACTCATTCTATAAAGCAAACATATCCTTGATACCAAAGCCAGCTAAAGACACCACCAAAATAAAAGATTATAGAACAATATCTCTCATTAATATAGATGCAAAAATCCTGAATAAAATCCTGGCCAATAGAATCCAACAATATATCAAAGAAATAATTCACCATGACCAAGTGGGATTCATAAAAGGTATGCAAGGATGGTTCAGCATAAGAAAAACAATCAGTGTAATTCATCACATTAACAAAGCAAAGAACAAGAACCACATGATTCTATCAATTGATGCAGAAAAGGCCTTTGGCAAAATCCAATACTCTTTTCTAATTAAAACACTCAACAAAATAGGATTAGATAGGAATATCCTCAACATAGTAAAAAGTATATATGCAAACCTGAGACCCAACATTGTCCTCAATGGAGAGAGATTAAAGGCATTCCCTTTGAGAACAGGAACTAGACAAGGATGCCCACTATCACCTCTCCTATTCAATATGGTACTGGAAGTTTTAGCGATAGTAATAAGACAAGAGAAGGAAATAAGAGGTATTCAAATTGGCAAAGAGGAGATAAAATTATCTTTGTATGTAGATGATATGATCCTATACTTAGAAAACCCTAAAGTCTCACCAAGAAAACTACTGGGCATAGTTGAACAATTCAGCAAAGTGGCAGGATACAAGACCAACATACAAAAATCAATTGAATTTCTCTACAGTGACAAAGAAAATACAGAACTGGAGCTAAGAAAAACAATATCCATCACAATAGCTAATCACATGATTAAATACTTGGGTGTAAATCTAACCAGAAACACAAAGGATCTATTCAAAGAAAATTACAAAACATTACTATAAGAAACAAAAAGAAACCTGGAGAAATGGAAGAATATACCTTGCTCTTGGATAGGAAGACTCGATATTGTGAAAATGACAATACTGCCAAAGGCAATTTACATGTTCAATGCAATTCCAATACAAATACCAATTCCATTCTTCAATGAGATGGAAAAGACAATCTCTAATTTCATTTTGCATGGAAAGAGGCCTCGAATAAGCAAAGCACTTCTTAAAAAGAGAAACAAGACACAGGGAAAAACTAAGAGAAGAGGGGATAAATAGTTTACACAGCGTTTAAACAGATGAGGGAGATAACTGTATAAAAGGAATATAATATATAATATTATGCAGCACTGAAAAACAATGAATTTGTAAAACACTGTACAACATCATTGAGTCGGGAAGACATTATACTGAGTGAAATACCTCAGTCACAAAAGGACATATACTGCAAAGGACCACTGTTATAAAAATAGGATGGACATGGGGCAGGGAAAGAATGGATAGATAATGAATATGATACTCAAATGGGAGAAGGGAGAGACTATCTGAAGGAATGGATGACTGTCTATTGTGTGTATGGCAACTGATGATCTGGAACAAGATATGTTCCAAGATATGTTGTAATCAAGGTGAATTGGAGGAGACAAGAAGATAGCTGTGTATCAATGAATGAATGAAAACCTATTCTTTCTGTAAACTTTTTACAAAATCAGAATATTTTTAAAAAACCAAACCAACCAACCAACCAACCAGCCAAGAAACAAAATTGCCATTGAACTGGTTCTAATTCAGAGAGATCCTCCCACAGGTTTCTGATGCTATACATTGGCCATTATAGTCACTGTGCCAGCTGTCTTGTTGACGAGGTAAGGAGCTTTTATTAAGGGCAAGACATTTTGCAAATTGGGAATCACAAAGTCCAGAAGATGCTGAACATGACCCAAAGAGGAGACAGTTCAGATAATTTAAATTAAAAAAATACCAGGGAATTCAATAAAAATGCAGTGACTGCTTGACATTTAGGTAATGGTTACTAAAATTGTAAGCAAACAAAATTACATTCTTTTCTGAAATTGTTTACCAAAAAATTTTTTCAAGTTGCAGTGGAAAATTACAGATATGACAAGCTACATTGCTGCTTCAGAGATTACTATTGATTCAAGATGAAATTTAAGCCTTATAGCCACCAGTTCATGTCTGGAGTCCTGAGTTCTTTTAAGGAGTTTTCACTTAAACAAAAGTGTCAATATACAGGCTTGTCCCTGGGAAAGGTGAAGTCACTCACTTTGCCTGTGTGTGCTCTCCTGATGTTCTTGCTGGCTGGTGCCACAATGAACAGAATGAACAGAGAGGTTATTTTCTCCCAATTCTGATCAGTACAGGAGAGTGATCAGAGAGTGCTGGTGCTTCTCATAGAAATTGCTTCTGAGACATTCAAACCAAAGTCCACATTTTACAACTTGTAGCAACATCCTTGGTACCAGCAGTCAGGAAATCAGAGAGCATATTGCATTGAGAAAGTCTGTAATCAAGGACCTCTCCACATTATTGAGGAGTAATGATGCCTGTTTGAGGATTAAGGGACACCTGATTCGAGCCATGGTCTTTCAATCACGTGCTATGCAGCTAAGAGCTGGACAATGAATAGGATGACAAAAGAAGAATCGATGCCTCTGAACTCTGGTGTTAGAGAAGAGTACTGATTATCCTATGGACTGTGGAAAGAACAAACAGCCATGTCTTAGAGAAAGTACAGCCAGAGTGCTCCTTGGAAGCAAGGATGACAAAGCTTTGTCTCACATACTTTGGGCATGTTATTAGGAAAGGGTATCCTATTTAAACACTAGGAGAGGGTATCCTATTTAAACACCCTTGAAAGTACCTCAGAACACAGGCTACTGGAAATCAGCTTCCAAAAGGTGATAGTCTTGATAACCTCAAGAAATACAGTTCGACTTTGCACATAACACACCTTTCCCCAGGACTCAGAATTGACTGGGTTGGCAATTAACAACAACAATAACCCTGGAAATTAATGCAAGCAATGTGAGCTAAATCAATATATTCAATACATTGAATTCAGAATAGGGATGGATCTCTGGTGATCTAGTGGCAAGAAGCTGTGCTGCAATCCCGAAGTTGCATGGTTCAAATCCACCAGATACTCTGCTAGAGAAAGAGGGGCAGTCTCCCCCTGTGCAAGTCAGATCCGATTAGACGGTACATACACCAAATAATAATAATAAAAAAAATGTTAAAGATTTTTTTTAAGTCCTGAATTCAGAATAGAAAATACTTCCTAAGCCATGGAGTATATATGGTCCCTTTCCTCAGAATATCCAAGCTCCAGGTGCAAATTTATCTTTCTTTTTGTGGTGAATGAAAACCAGTTGAGACAGCTTTTGCTTAATCTTAAAAATGAAAGGATAGTTGGTTCTATCCTGTTTCTGGGGCAGATATTCTAATATTTGCATAACTATGAAGACTCATTCAGGTGATTGATTATTTTTCTTGAATAAAGAATATCTGCTCAGAAATTTTAGTAAATGTGGAAGGGGATTAATCAGTCTGGTTTTAACTGGTTTTCTGCTTCTTGTTGTTGTTAGGTGCCCTTGGGTTATGTATGACTCATAGTGACCCAAGAACAGTGGATCTTACCCTGTCCTATCCTGTGCCATCCTCATCATCTCTCACCTACTTGAACCCATTTTTCTACAGTCACTGTGTCAATCCATCTCATTGGGAGTCTTTCTCTTAGATGGCAAATTCTAGTTCTGAACCACTTACTAGTTGAAACTGCTTCTCATATTGCTGTTTTTTTAAGGAATTAAAATTTTTAACACTATCAAAATTTGCCTTTCAGGTAGATAGGTGAAAGAAAGGAGGCAGGGAGAGAAGGAGAGTGTGGAGGCAAGGGCAAGAGAAATAGTCTAATACCCATTCCAAAAGCGGCCCCTTTTCTCAACCCTCATCCCTTCACACCAGAACTTCCCAGAAAAGGGAGGGAAAAGAGGTGGGACTGGGGTACTGGGGGTGAAAAGGCATTGTGCTAAGTGATAAATAAAAAAAGAATAATAAGAGGTCCAAGAGCAAGTATTCAGCTGCAGAGTTACTGGAGACAATCAGTTTGGTCTGGTAGGTTTCCACAGGTCTCTCTGACCGAAGGCAAGCCTAGAATTGTGAAAACACAAGGAAAGTGGTGGCTTGTTTAGAACACTCTTCCGCTGGTTAGTTCAGAACTGGTTGGTTATGATGGCAGCCCCAGCTCCCTCTGGTTAGAAAAGTCATTCTTTCCAATTAAGATGCTTTCGCATTAGCAGAGCCATATGTGTGTTCTAGGCCTGTCCATCTGCTCAGTCCTTCAGCCCCAGGTTCTTTGCTGAGTTGGGCAGCCCCACTGGTCCATCTTTTGTGTTCATTCTTCTTTTTTCTCTTGGCATCTATTCCCAGAAAAAGTACAAAGAAGATGCAGAGAAGTCCATGTCATATTATGAGACTGTTTTGGATACCCCTGAGATGCAGAGAGTCCGGGAAAACCAAAAGAATTTCAGCATTGTAAGTGTCCATTGCCTCTAACACAGATGCATGGGTATCTAGGATCAGATGGAGTAAGGAGGACACACACTGGGGTATCCCAGTCCTGCTGTGATGCCAAGAAACAGCTCCTCACTTCTTCTATCTGGGCCTCAGCAATGTGTGTGCAGTGCTTCTCCATGCTCAGCCTGCATCAATCCCAAACAGCACAAACATTGTCCTCTTGTTCATTTCCTATCCCTGAACATCTGTTTTCCCCATACTCTATCAATGGCAAAACTATTGTTTTCAGAGTTAATCCTAGGCAAGGGATCCATAAAAGTAACCAAAGTGACACATTATAAATTTTAGGGTTTCTAAAAATTTGCTTCTCTGTAAAATTAATGTTAAACAATTTCTCTTTTATCAGACCATAATTATTATGCCTTAGACTTTTTCTTTTTTTTAAAGAAAATGGTTGTTGTTTTTTTTATTTCAATGAACATCTACAGAGATTTTGGAATTCCATTCATTCATTGTTGCACTTTTCTCCCTGCTCATCCGCGACCCCCTCCCTGCCGTTTGCTCCTCTCCTTGAAAAGCAAAATGGACTTTTTCTTTTAAACTTGGAACTCTAACTTCCTTTACACAAAGAAGACATTTATGTATGTAAAAATACATAAACCAATGTAGACCTTAACAAGATGTTTACTCTTTCTTCATAGCTTCAATACCAGTGTGACCTTAAAAACAGTAAAGGAAAAATTACAGTTGTTCAAGATACACCAGAAATACTGCGTGTTAAAGAAAACCAAAAGAATTTCAGCTCGGTATATTTACTACTTATTTTCCACTTAATGCTAATTTAATAATTCCATTTCCCTCTTTAAAAACCTACTAGCCTTACATTGATTCAGATAATTAACATCTAACGCCCCCAGTTAATATACGTAGTTATTTCTGAAGTTCCCATCCTTTGCCTCTAAACTGTCACTCAAAACACCATTTGAAATAACAATTTAAAAATGCTAACCAAGCACATTTTCTTTCTTTATAACTTTTTAATCCCAGTACAGTAACATGTGTGTGTTCTTGCTCCAGGAAGACGGACTTCTTTTTTGACATTGTGATTTCTTTGATTACACCTCCCCAACATAACTGACTGATTTCACATTTCTTTAATGGATTTTATTTCACATGAGTGTGGTTTGTTTTGTTTGAGTTGGGTTTTTTTAACCAGAGTTTTTTTATCCCACCCCACCCTCATCCTGTATTAATACAGTACAATAAATAACCTCACAAGAAATCTCATGATCTGGAAGAGGTTTGTGTTATAGCTACTCTTCATGACTGATACTGACCTGGAAGATATCAGATGAAGATCTAGTGGACTTCCCTAAGAACAACCTTAAGCATCTTTTGTTTTCACAGAAGCCATGTTTCCTAGTCTTTCTCAAGGAATTGCTAGGATTTTCTTCCTTCTCTGTAACACTACCTTGATTCTGAATGTCCAGGTTTTATATAAAGAGGATGTCTCACCAGGAACAGCGATTGGCAAGACCCCTGAGATGATGAGAGTGAAGAAAACCCAGGACCACATTAGCTCGGTAAAGACATAGTGGACCTTCACTTTCCATTATTTTCTCCCTTCCTTTGGTAACTGGCACTGATCTGAGCTGCAGTTAAAGCCTTTGCTACCAGTAGAGCTTAAATTGCTAACGTGCCAGTGGGTAAACTCACCTCATATTCAGAACAGTCATGTGGCTCTTTTTATGAGGAAGAGCTTAGATATGGAAAACTGAAAGGATTTTTAAAAAGAAGACTTTAAGAAAGAGCCAAGAATCAACCTTCCTGGGCACTTATCAAGTGAAGTGTTGAACCTAAAGAGTTCAGAATATATGGGAGAGCGTAATCCAACAGCTGGAGCCCTGGTGGAGCAGTGATTAATTCCACTGCTAATCCAAAAGGTCTGCAGTTTGAACCCACCAGCTGCTCTATTAGAGAAAGACAAGGCAATCCGATTTTGTAAAGATTATAGTCTTAGAGCAGTCACACACACCCTACCATATAGAGACACTATGAATATGAACTCATCAAATGGCAACTTATTTTATTTGGGGTTTTTGTTTTTATTTGATTAATCCAAGAATCCCCCACCTCTTCCCCCAAAGAGAAGACACAAGACAGAGTGTGTCTTTGTTCTCTGAATTATTCATCTCCAACTCAGGGTCAGACTTTTACCCCATTCACACTATGCATGTTCATAAAACTAAGATGTTAGAACTTGATGGAATCAAAAGGACAATGGTGAGTAATGTAATCAATGCCACTGAATTACACAAGTAAAAATTAATGAATTGGCAGATGTTTGATCATACATACTTTTACTACACTCACCATGCACCCCTCGCCCTCTACATACCCCTGTCTACACACACACAAATTTGAGGGGCTACTAAGTAGATGGGAAGCTCAGGGGCTTAGTGATAAGGGTCACCAATGTGTCGGTTCCAACTCTAGGGCTGTACCACACATAACAATAACAACTAAGTAGATAGACATGCTGATGGGGAAAAATATCTATCTAGCGTATAATAATATCTTGTACTTTCTAATTTTCTGTCTTCAGGTGAAGTATAAAGAAGCAATTGGACAAGGAACTCCAATTCCTGACCTGCCTGAAGTGAAGCGTGTCAAGGAGACCCAGAAGCATATTAGCTCGGTAATAGCTCCTAGTCTCAGCTTGTGTCTGTGTCACTGACCACCTCCCTGTTGCCAGCTCCACTTCATCCCTTCTCCTTCCTCCCAAGGTTTTTCTGTGCCTTATGGATGTTGGGAGCCCAGGTGGCATAGTGGTTGAGCCATCTGGATGACTTGGTGTTTAGAGCCCACCATTCCACCCCTACTGTCTTAGGAGAGGATGCAGCCATCTGCTTCTGTAAAGATTCACAGCCTTGGAACCCCCATGGTTGACTCTGCTTTGTTCTTTAAGGTTGTTAGGAGTCTGAATCTACTCACTGGTAGAGTTATGTGTATTGCGAGTCTCCCTTTCATCCTGAAGGGGTCCACTGTTAAAGTCATTTGTATCAATCTATCTTGTTGAAGGTCTTTTCTTGGACCTTCCACCTTTCCCAGCATGATATTTTAGTAGAAAATAAATTTAGAAAGTCTATGTGCATTCTTATTCCCTCTCTTTAAAGATTTCTTGCCCTGTTTTTTTCTGCACAAGGAGCCCTGGTGGTGTTAAATCCTTAGCTGCTAAAGGAAGAGTCTATGGTTAGAACCCACCATCCGCTCTATGGGGAAGAGATGTGAAGTGTTAGAAACCCAACAGGGTAGTTTCACTATGTCCTGTATGGTCAGCACCAGTCAAAAATTACTCTCTGGCAATGCACTGGCTTTGATGGGGTTTTGTTGTTTGCTTGTTTTGGAGTTGTTATTGTTCACTGGTTGTTTTTTAAAGGGTTTTTCCCCCCTACTCAGAATCCTTGGGTAGTGCATATGTTTTGTGTGGTTGGCTGCTAATGGAAAGGTTGGAAATTCAAATCCACCTAGAAGTACCTTGAAAGAAAGTCCTGGTGATATTTCTGGAAAAAAAGAAATCCTTCATTTGAAAATGTCACTGTGTACAGCTCTGCTTTGACAGACCAAAGAACTGCATGAGCCGGGGTCAACATGACGGCAGCCAGGGGCAGATGACCCAGTAAATCTGTTACAGTTCATTAAACACACACACACACACACACACACACACACACACAAGCTTGTTTACCTTGCTTGTCTGCCCCTTCAGGGGCTGCAAACTTGAAAGGAGACTGATTTCAGGAAGGCATTGCAGGGCTGGGAGAGGAACAGATGCCAGTCAATCCTAGATGCAGCAGTGAAAAAACTTGAAATTGTTTACTACAAATTAGTAAGTAAGCACCTGCCTACCTTGCTTGTTATGTAATCTAACACTGATTGCAACCAGTTATTATCTACTCTCTCCTTATAAATGCAGTGCTTGCTTTAGATGCAGGCTGTTGCCTGCCAGTACAATGTTTTACATAACAAACCTGTTCTTTAACAGGAATTTCGGTACCTGTGAGTATGGGAAGTCTATACCTCAAAGATCAAGTTAGCATTTCTCCTGATCTGTCAGCCCCTCCTTCTTCCTCATCTATCAAAAACTCTAAAAACCCTGAGGCGTAGACCATAGACAATTGCACTACCTCAAAAGTCACACTTTTCTGTTGGTTCAAATCTATCACCTGGACTCTATCACCCGCTCCAAGGGAGAAAAAAGGAAAATGTCCTCCCATGAGATTTACAGACTATCCACTGGATTCCATCCCCATTCACAAGTAGATTACTAAGAATTTGCTGACTTTTAGCAAGTAATTGTGAACTCTGGTGTATAGTTTACGACCAATCAAAAGTAAAGAGCCTTGTTGGAGAGATTCGCCTAGTCACTGGAAGGCTGATCTCTCATGCAATTTCCACTGGAAGATACTTGGTGGTCTTGTGTGTGATTTAGCTTTCATTCCATTTTCTCTTCCTGCTCACCTTAGCCTTTCTTGTGACTCAGCTTCTACTAAGGCCAGAAAGCAGCTGACTGCTCACTCTGCCTGTAGTGTTCAAGAGTTCTTCTTGCCTTTCTCTGGTTTTTGGTTTTCTCTTGTCCATGCCGTGGTATTATTCAGTTGCTTCATATGTATCTGTAAGTTGGGCAGTAAATAAAGAAGATCAAAGAAGAATCAGGGCCTTTGCATTGTAGTGTTGGTGAAGAGTCCTGAATATACCTTGGACTGCCGAAACAAATAAATCTGTCCTAGAGGACATATAACCAGGGAGCTCCTTAGAGGCAAGGACGATGAGACTTTGTCCACATGCTTCAGGCATATTGTTAGGAGGGGCCAGTCTTTGGAAAAAGACATCAAACTGGGAAAGGTAGAGAATCAGCCAAAGAGGGTGACCGACCCTCAAGGAGATGGACGGACACAAGGTTGGCAGACATCATGAGGATGGCACAGGCTTGGGCAAGGTTCAGATCTGTTCAGAGGGCTGCTGTGAGTCGCAGTTGATGGGGGCGGAGGGATGGGGACACACACACACACCGAACAACAACGTGTCCATGATTGTTTCTGCTGTCCTGCCAGAGGTGGGAAGAGCTGGGACTGGGATAAAGAAGCACATCCTTGTTACTCAAATTGGGGAGTTTTAAAGATTCTTAGTATTTATTTCCTAGCAAAACAATAATATTGTTGCTGCCACTGATTTTAGAAATATATCTCTGACTCAACCTCTAGGAGTTTTGTGATCTTTTCCCCCCTACCCATTCGTTAATACAACAACATAGACTTCCATCCATGTGGAAAAAAAATGAAGGTTAACAGGGAAACCTCGAATGGGAGTTCTGCTCTGTCCTATAGGGGTCAACTCCACAGCAATGAGGTAATGGTTAAAATTTCTATTTTTAAAAGAGAGATCATTATTAGAAATGGAATGTCTTTCTTTTATTCGTCACGAGTCACATTTGAAAGCTCAATTGTTTTATGGTACAAAGAACTTTCTAGCAAAAAGCTCAAATGTAACAGTAATCTGAAGGACCCATGGTCATTTTACCTTTTGAGTTTTCTAATTATCTTCTACAGGTTCTGTACAAAGAAAACCTGGGAACAGGCATACCAACCCCTGTCACTCCAGAGATTGAGAGAGTCAGACGCAATCAAGAGAACTTTAGCTCGGTATTTACCAGTCTATCACATAAGAAATCCTATGCCCCCTAAAATGTTTACCAGAATAACCCATTATCCTTCTATAAGACGTAACATCTTAACATCAGTTCTGTGTGTATTTACGTGTGTGTGCTCTGACCTACCTGACCAAAGCCACCTGGACTGATACAAAGAGACTCACTTTTCTGACTGTATTTTAACATTTTTTTTGGCAACTGACCAGTGTGAATACTTAGATCTGATGTACTGTAAATGGAATTAACATGGGATTCTTCACCGTTATACTTACAGCCTATAACTCAGTGCTTTTCTGTTGTATTTTTTTTATCCAGCAATTAGCATCATAGAGTTCATCATTAGAATTGCAAAGTAAAAAAAGTAAAAGTGTTATCCTTACTAAAAAAAAAAGAAAACCCAAACACAAATCAAACAAAACCGCCCCACCCCCAATCTCCTGTCTTCCTTAACTAACCTTTGTGCTTGGTTTGAGTGTCTTCTGGGTACTTTTTTCTCACAGGTTCTGTACAAAGAAAATTTGGGGAAAGGAACCCCAACACCTGTCACTCCAGAGATGGAGAGAGTCAAACGCAATCAAGAGAACTTTAGCTCGGTATTTCTTAGGGAACAAAAATTCTCACTGAAAATAATACACTTAACCTATCACAAATATATGATACTCCTTCCTGTAAAATTACTAAATCAATATCATGAAAATAATAACTGTATTACCTCAATTTTCAACTCTAATATCTGCTTTAGTTCTGGTGTGAATTTTTCAGTGTGTCTTTCCTAAAACATAGATATTTATCACTTCCCTTAAAATCCTGTAGTACTCAGATTTCCTTCTACCAACCTTCCTTGAATAATTAATAGTAAGTCTTTCTAACCAGTGTGGCACAAATTCACAGTAAATTCTAACATCTTTTCAAAAGGAAAATGTTAATTGGGGTTTAGCTTATTTTCATTGTTACTATGTTTGATATATTATTTGTGTTTGTAGGTTTTCTTAAAGAGTAATATTTCATTCAGAAGATGATAAAGTAATTTGAAGTAATGCAAAAATTCAAATTTGCTGGTCTCAGCAATGCTTTTACACTACAAAAGATAGAAATGAGCTTATTAAAATTTGGCATATTTTTAGGACCATTGAAAAACTAATATTTGTTTAAGTTTTAATATTTGTTAGTAGCATTTATTAATATTTACTTTGTGTCCTGAAAGGACTCTTCTGATTCCCTAATTTAGGGTCACCAATATGATTAACTTGAACTCTATTTGATAAGTATAGTCTAATCTTTCTTTGAGTCTACCTTACTCCTGCCTAAGGGTGGAGCTGCATATATGTACTCATGCCATTTGACACAATGTCTAACTGACTCTAATTTAGACTCTAATAAGTCTAAATGCCAAGCACTGAACTGCAGCTACTGTTATCTCTTTAAATTACTTAAGTCTATTTTATGTCAGAGAGTGCTGGTGGCTTACTGGTTAGGAGTTGCACTGTCAAACCAAGAAACAGGGTTCAAATCCATGGAAGAAACATGGGCAGTCTCCTCCCATGTGATAAACTGCCTCTGAAAACTTGCTGGGGTTCAGAGTTGGGGGGAGGTCAGCTATGAGGAAATTCTAACTCAACAATATTCACAATAGCATTCTATTTCAGCATAACAACTGAAAGATAGTTTTAGAGACTATTTGAAAACTTGAGTCTAACTGTCGGATGGGCCAAAGCTGATTCAACTATTGCTTTTGTGCACGCAGATATTGTACAAAGAGAACTTGAGCAAGGGGACCCCCATACCTGTCACTCCTGAGATGGAGCGGGTCAAACGCAATCAAGAAAACTTTAGCTCGGTATTTGGGAGACAGTTCCCTTTAACTTCATACTTAAAAGTAGTAACAATACCTTCCAGAAAATGAAGTTTCTCCCTGTTGGTCCTCTTAAAATAACCAATTTAACAAATTACTTTTCTTTCAAACCTCACCATCTGAATCTTCCTTTTTTTAAAATGTTTTACTTACCATTTGATCCTAATGTCCTGTACTTTTGATGATAGTCCCTTAAAATGTTTAACTGGTTCCTTTCCTTCTCTTTTCACTTTTATGTTTCTGTTGGGACTTTGGGAGTTTGTTGATGGCAAAGATCAAAACATAGCACCGAAGCTTTATTGACTTGAAATTTTTTAAAACTTGTTTCCAGGTTAACTGGTGTCGCAAGAAAAGATAGAAAACTTGGGGGCTGATGTGGAAATAGTAGCTCTGTCTGGGAGCAGGAAACTTAACATAGATCTTGTCTGGCTAAACAGTGCTGTGGAGAAAGAAAATGTTTTTACCTCTATACTTGGTCTAAACTAGTCATTTTGTTACCACAAAGCTGTAGATTTGCCATCTGCTGCTTGAAAACCAGTCTCAGACAGGACACAGTGTGGAAAAGCAGAACTGTATTCTGATATATAGAAGATCAAGGTTGTGAGCATCCTAAAGCTGCCTCGTCATCTTGGAGACCAAAAGAGGCTGATGAGGCTTCTTTATTATATGGGAGGGACAGGACAGCAGACTGGGAGAAACTTTTATAGCATTTTCTCCTGTCCCAGTGTTCTGGTCACTGATCATATCCTGGATTAGTTGATCTAATCTTATTCAGAAAGAGCCATGCCTATGTTGTGGCTGAAGGGGAAACTTACCTCCTGTTCATAAACTGCAAGACAGTTTCAAGGAGAGCTTAAAGGAAATTTAATTCCATAAGGAAGCTATCACTACTCTGCTTAATAAAGAGAAAGTCCTTTTTTTCTCTTACAGTATTATAAAAGTTTAGACTTAAATTAGTGCAGAGTACTATAAAAGACTCCTATTTTTCTATGTTTGTATACATTTGTTGCAGGAGAGTTCTTCTGTTAGTTTCACATTTTTTAAGAGTATTTGCAAGAGCTTAATTTTCTATCAGTTCACTATTGCAATTTCATGAATAGAAATCCAACCCTTCTGAATTTTGAAACACAGAGATAAGCCCATGAGTTTACAGTTTGTTATTATTTCTTTTTATTAATATTCTTATTATTTACTATTGCCTCATTTTATTAATATTTTTGTTGCCGAAAAACTTGGTAATACCATATAGTCTGAAAACGTCTATGTAAAGACTTCAATTGATTTATGCCTGAGTTAGAGAATCAAATGTCAGGAGTAAAATATAGCTGTTTTGGCAAGGGTGGATTGAAAGGGTGATCTAAAATATTATCAATATTCAATTTAAATATTTTCTAAAATTTAGAGTCTTTCACATAATTAGATCAGTAGTTTCTTTTGATCCCACTGTCTTTTTCATTTTGTTTCCTTTGTTTTAAAGTTATTCAGTGTTAACATGTCTTTTTTTTAACATGTCTTTTAGAATGATTTAGCCACTGTTTTCTGTTATTGTTTTTTTAAAAAAGTAATTATTATTTTTGTTTCTTTTTTAAAAAAGTTGCAGGAATTGACTGTTTGTTCAGAAGATAATGTTGATGTTCATGATATAGAATTGTTGCAGTATTTTAAAAAAAAAAAAGGTTAGCTGACATTTCCTAAAAGTATTTTCCCATGTTATCTTCTGTTTTAGTTAGAATGTTATTGTTTGTATTTATTTGAAGTTTTTTACAATTTCTAGACAATTTCTCTTTTAAAAGCAGTCATTTGAGCTAATTTTTACAGAGATTTCACTTACCAAAATTGTCTAGTTGTGCATAGAACCATTTGAAATGTGGTAGGAAATAAACAGGGCTGTATATTAAAACCCTGACTTGAAGAATTGGCCCAGTTTGAATTTAATTAACAAAGATCAGTTTTGCCTTGTTGCATAAATTTAATCTGGGGTTTGAGAATCCCTATGAAAGTATAGAATCTGTTCTCACGTGGATCTATATCTGAAAGAGAACATGCGGATGTGTCTTGGTTTTCCCCATGTGAGGTCCGCAGTCCATCTGCTTCCCGACAAGGTAGTCAAAAAGGCTGTCTTGACTGCTTTTGTTTTTCTGGATGCTTTCTTGTGTCACACAGGTGATGTATAAGGAACACCTTGGGAAAGGGACCCCGATTCCCATCACCCCAGAGATGGAGAGAGTCAAGCACAATCAAGAAAACTTTAGTTCGGTACTTAAAAAAAAGTTCCCCTTAACTTATTTTCTAAAAAAGTTTTAAAAAGATTAATAACTACATCCCCCCCCCCATCTAATCAACTCATCCAAATGAAAAACTGACACAAGTCTTGTTTGTCCTTTAATATTGCCGTTTACTAGAATCGGTTTCCCTATTTTGGTTAAAATTAATACAGTCATTTAACTGTTTAAAAAGTAATTCAATATTATAGTTCAGCTCTTAAAAATGTATCATTCACATATTTCCTGCTTTGGACTACTTGATGTATGCATAAAGCTTACATTTGGGGAAGGGAGGATTCGTTTGCAAAACTCAGATCACCAGCCACATTTCCTCTACTGAGCTGCTGTCTCTACTGGTATTTGCACAAATATTTTCTAGTTTCCCCTTTGAGCATCCTGTCATTGTTCTCCATTTACCATAAAGGTGTTTATTCTCATTATATTCACCTAAACTAAAAATTAGATCTTTATGAAAGTCAACAAAAAATTTACGTTTTTGTGTTTTTTTTTTAATATAAGGAACTCTGGTGATGCAGTGGCTGCTTACCAAAAGATTAGGGGTTCAAACCCACCAGCCCTCAGGGGAGAACGGTGCCAGTCTGCTTCCCCAAAGGCCACAACCTTGGAAACCCCAAGAAGCAGTTCTCTCCTGTCCGATGAATTATAGAATGATATGAATGATAATCAACTCTGCAACAGTGGTTCCAGTGTTGTTGTTGTTGTTGTTGTTTAATCTTCATATATACACTGTTTTTAAAAAACCCCAGATATCCTTGTGTGCTTTATTAATAGCGTTTTCGATGAAAAAACAAAAAACTTCCTTGGTTTTGTTTCTCTCCCAGCTTGTTTAATCCCCCGTGCCTACCTCTGCCTCTGGTAACAGGGTGGCTGAACTGATGACCCCCTTTACAGCGATCATCTTTGCTGGGTGCTGCAGACTTTAGTTCCAACAATAACAACACTTTCTTTGCCTATTTCTTTGTTTTGACACCTTTCCCCCATTCCTTTGCTTTTTAAGGATGTCGCTGGACTCATATTGGTTGGCTCTGAGAGCTTCTGGTAATACCCTTCCTGTAACTCCTTCTCTTCGCCCCTCACCTCCCACTCCCAGCCCGTGGGGGTGGGGGGTGGGGTGGGAAGAGACATTGCTTTTTGTCTGGATGCTTTCCACAGGTGCTCTACAAAGAAAACCTGGGGACAGGAATTCCAATCCCCATCACCCCTGAGATGCAGAGAGTCAAGCACAATCAAGAAAACCTTAGCTCGGTATTTGGGAAAGAAAAGGGAAAAAATAATGATGACACTTAACTCATAATTAACTTGATTCATAACATTTCTTCTTCTTTGTTTTTTTCTTTTTTGAACCCACAACCCTTCCTTTGTTTTTACTTAACTCACTTGGACACAATTAATTAGTTTCTGTATTATCTCTTTAGATTCTAAATTTTACTCCCATTAATTCTGATTTTTATATCATCTTTTCAGCACTTAATTGAGTAAATAATAAGGCCTTTTGTTTGCTTGGGTAACAGTAAAGTCGATTTCTAACAATCTCAAGACCCCCATGACTGTTTAGATTCTCATTGAAATGGACAAATAACACGGATAACTCAGATAGCCTTTCTACCAGCCCTTCTGTGCACCAGGTCCCTGTTGTACTAGAGGAGTGATGTTTCCTCATCTGAGTTATGGCTGCGATTAGAGTAGTATGTGGCATCTTGCTGGTATACAACTCCTGGCTCCTTGGAATACTGGCCCATATTGTAGCAAGAACATTGAACTCACACTTAAAACTTCACCAAAAATGAAATGCTATTTACAGTTGTGTTTCTGGCTGCTCTCTTTTCACACAGGTCTTGTACAAAGAAAACATGGGCAAGGGGACCCCTTTACCTGTCACTCCTGAGATGGAGAGAGTCAAACACAATCAAGAAAATATTAGCTCGGTATTTAAGGAAAAAATATGGAGGGGAAATGATGATCCTTAACCTCATAATTAACTTTATTCTTAAGGTTTCTTTTCTTTTTTTTTAACCTACATATCTTCCTTTGCTTTCACTATAACTCACTTAGACACAGTTACTTGTTTCTGTGATACTTCCAAGGATTTTAATTTTATTTCATGTGATACTTTTTAGCACGTAAATAAATAACAGGTTATTTTTTTAAAATTTGGGTGAGAAACTGCAAAACTGATTTCTAACAATCTCAAATCTCCCACAATTGTCTAGAAGGCTCGCAGAAATGGAAAGATAACACTGGTCACTTGGCCTTTCAGAAGCAACCAGGTCTGGCTGCTTAGGGGGCGAGTGTCCTAAGGGGGCTTACGTCTGCTATTAGAGTCAGATGTGTGCCTTGTCTACGTATAAATCCTGGCTTCTGGGAATGCTGTGCCATTTTGTAACAAGGACGTTGAACTTACACTTAAAAACCACAGCAAATGAAATACTATTTACAGTTATTTCTCTGGCTTTCTCATCACACAGGTGTTATACAAAGAAAACATGGGCAAGGGGACCCCTTTACCTGTCACTCCTGAGATGGAGAGAGTCAAACACAATCAAGAAAATATTAGCTCGGTACTTTGGCAAGAAAAGAAAAAAAGCAAAACAAAAAAATTCTAATACTTTACTGGATTTAAAAATAATACCTATTAATTGTGTTTTTTAAAAAGACAAATTTTGTTTCTCTCTTTACCGTATTTTTCTTTCCTATAGGACTATTACTAGCCTTAACTCCACTATAACAAGATTGCTTTAATCCATAATTTAAAGTTCTAATATCTGAGAATAACGGACTTTTCCCCCCCTGTAAACCTTTTGCTCATCTCTCCCTACCCAAACTTGTTCTCTTAAAAAGATCTTATTGTTTTACATCCTTGTGAGATTCGATCAGGTGTGGGGTGTGTCAGGGGCTCCTGCTGTGTGGCGGGCCCTCTCTGGAACAGTAGAGTTGTGATTTTACGGTGTTTGTGTCTGTGGCATTAGGTTCTATTTTATCCTGTTTGAGTTAGACCTAGAGACCTTGGGAAAAATAATCCCTGACCTTTCCTTTTAAGGCTAATGACATGAATGAAAATTCACAAGTGATTTCAATATATGATTATCAGTTCCTTTAAGGACCCTTGGTGGAATGGTAGTTTAAGTGTTGGACTGCTAACCAAGAGGTCAGCAATTCTAATTCACCAGATGCTCCTCAGAAAATTGAAGCAGTCTGGTCTCATTTAAGATTTATACACCCAGAAACCCAACGGAAGATGGCTATGCATCGGAATTGACTGAGTGATGGTTGGTTTGGGGCTTTTCCTCTTTTGTCCTTCTCTTTAACTGTAGGCTTTAATAAACCTCTGCTCTGATACTGCATTTATTTATAAGAAAGATTCAGCAGGAGATCGGGGCTTGTGTAAGAAGCCCTGGTTTAATGTCAGTGGTTTGAACCCCCCAGCTGCTCTTGTAGAGAAGGACATAGTGGTGTGCTTTGTAAATATCTAGAAACCTTATAAGCCATTCTACTCTGTCCTGAGAGGGACCAGAATTGACTTGACAGCCATGGGTTTGGATTGGTTTTAGGGGGCTATGTATAGGTGACTAGTTTGTGTGTGAACCTTCTTGTGGCCTTCACCATTTAGACAATATTCAGGTTTCTCCAATACTTGAATGTGGAGGTTCTCAAACTGTAGCGTGCATCAGTCACTTGGGAGGCTTGTTAAATCAGACTGCTGGGGCCTGCCCCCAGAGTTTCTCATTAAGTAGGTCTGACTTGTCTAGTAAGTTCTCAGTTGGTCTTGATCTTGTTATTATGTAGGGACACCTGGAGAGCCACGACTTGGCAGAATTGTCCTTGAATGCTACTGTCCATACTGCCAGTGTTCCCAAGAGTGAGGGGAGACACTGCGGTGGAGGACTTTCCATGATGTGGTATTGTGCTTCCAAATGGCACACAAGTGGCCTAGTCGTAAGCAGCTGCACTGTCCTCCCAAAGGTCCGCGGTTCAAGTCCACCAGCTACACTGTGGGAGAATGGCAATTTCCTCCCGTGTGATTAAACTGCCTCTGAAAACCCCCTGGAGGGTCAGCTATGGGTTGGTTCTCACTTGGCAGCACATAACAGTAACAATGGCACATGTGGTTGTTACTGTTGTTAGGCATACATAATAGTAATAGAATAATTGCCCAAAACATATTCCTTTTTTTTTTCCTGTTTTTCTGTTGGACTAAATTAAAGCAAGAGGAAGACGGAATGATAGGAAGAAAAAAGGCATAGTAAATGCATGACCTGACTTGAGGGGTTACGACTTTACTGATAGGTCTAAGCCGTGAAAAGTCACCACATCGGCCATTTTTGGAGCAGCCCCAGCCTAGGAGAGTCTGTCATTACATGTCTGTAACTTTGGTTTAGATTTCTGCCAAGGACTTCTCATTCATAGACTAGTGATGGAATGACTGTGGTCTCTTTGGGGTTCACTGCCTTCAGTCGTTCTTGTAGCCCCGAGGGGTTTCAGACACAGTGCGAGCCTGGAAGTGTGTGTTTTGCTGTAACTACCTTCAGCCTCCCTAAGAAACAAGTTCCTCCTTATTCTAACCTTAGTTCCCAAATGGGATGGCCCCCTGAGCCTCATAAAAAAAATGATCCATTTTAATCTGTTTGTAACGTTGATTCTTTTTTCATTTTGGATCCTATGGATCCCATAGGTTTTGTACAAAGAAAATGTGGGGAAGGCCACCCCAACCCCTGTCACTCCAGAGATGCAGAGAGTCAAGCGCAACCAAGAAAACATTAGCTCGGTATTGTCTACAGAAGCAATAGCATTTTGAGTTTTGCAAAGTAACCCATGCAGTTTGGGCTGATCCTAACCAACCCAGGTTAAAAACAAACAAAATGCCATTACACTTGTGTCCTCTAAATGTGACACCACACTTATCATCGCCATTAACTGATTATAAGCTTTCTCCTTGAGAGCTATTCTCACTAATAGTTATATATATTTATTTCTTTAATTTTTAAATGTTTTCATTTAATATTTTTTTAAAAATTCCATACACTTTCCCTGCACAAATTTCATCAATTTAACGACTTTGTATCTCACAGGTGTTATACAAAGAGAATCTGGGGAAAGCAACCCCCACCCCCTTTACTCCTGAGATGGAAAGAGTCAAACGCAATCAAGAGAACTTTAGCTCGGTATTTAAGAGAGAGAAAATCATTAAACTCTTAACAAACTGGCAAACACAGTTATCCCACTAATTCATCTCACAGTTTTTCCAAACCTTTTGTGTTTCTTTTTTTTCCTCTCATTAAAACAAACAACAAAACCATCCCAACCACCTCAAACTGATCTCGCTGTAACTCCATTCATCCCCCTTTGGAAACCTATCTCTTACCATTAACCTTCTTTTCTAAATGGTTTGACATCTTGAACCTCATCAAAAGTTCTCTCTCCATGAAATCCTTTGGTAAACTTGAGTTCTCTTTGGCTTCTGACAATAACATTTTAATGGCTTTCTTTCCTGAGTTGTTTCTTACAGAGTGTGATATAATCGAGGCATAACATCAACTAAATGAGTTTTGGACTGAATACCCCCCTCTCTGACATCTCCATGCTCTCTTGACTCCCTTAGGTGTTGTACAAAGAGAATATGAGAAAGGCAACCCCGACTCCCATCACTCCGGAGATGGAGAGAGCTAAGCGCAACCAGGAAAACATTAGCTCGGTATTTTCTAGGCTTAAAAATAACTTGGAAATATATACATTAAAATAACTTAAAAAAACAAATTATAAAATAACATTTTAACCGCCTAAAAATGTGTACCTTCTCATTCAACTGAAAAATACACTAAATTTTTTATTAAAGAAAGAAATGCAACATCTTAAAAAATAACATGTTAACACCATAAACATGCTGACTTTCTTATTCAACTGAAAATTTACCCTACAATTAACACGATTGTGCTTTAAAATTCCAAATGATCATACTAAGACATAACAAGTTAATGGCCAGTGTTTTCTCGCCCCTTTCATTGTCTTCTGAGGTAGTCTTCCATAACCATCTGTAACCAATTGACCTCTAACCTCCTCAACTTTGTTCTCTCTCCATGTTTACGGTACTCCATGAAACAGGTAATACTCTGGAAGGGATGCCTTCTTCGGCTTTGTTATTTTGGGACTTTCATGTCTGGAGGACTTTGATTTCTGTGTTAATATATTGGTTTATGATAAATGATCAGAAACCTGAGGAAAATGGTTGTTTGCTTTTAAAGGGTAGGTCTTTCAGCCTCACATTTAGTGCCAAATACCATACAATATGTTGGCACTTGTGCTACCAGTTCTGGCAAATTAAAGAAGCTGTTTTCGTCTTTTTTCTTTTCTTTTATAATTATCCTGTGCCTTTTTTTTTTTTTTACAATGAAAACTAGTTTCAAAGTCAAAGTAAGTCCTTTCTTTTCTGAAGCATCCCTACCATCCACTGTTAGTCATGTGTCTGGCTGGGTACTCTCCATTGATTCATGCTTCATATACCATCTCCTTCCATTTTCATCTGTTGGAAAGTCCTTAAGGTTTTAGAATTAGGACCCCATCAGGACCTGTACTCATTCATGGTCCCTTCTCCCTCAGGTACTATATTCTGATAGCTTCCGGAAACAAATACAGGGCAAAGCTGCCTACGTCTTGGACACTCCAGAGATGAGACGGGTGAGGGAGACCCAACGCCACATCTCAACAGTGAGTCAGGGATTCTTCAGAATTGGTTGGCTGGCTTACCAGAATACAAGAACAGGGGCACTGTGATCTCATCATATTTTCATCAAGGGTATTCATGAAATTTCAGGTGAAATATCACGAGGATTTTGAAAAGCACAAGGGTTGCTTCACGCCAGTGGTGACTGATCCTGTCACTGAACGAGTTAAGAAGAACACACAAGACTTCAGTGACATCAACTACCGAGGCATTCAGAGAAAAGTGGTAGAAATGGAACAAAAACGGAATGACCAGGACCAGGAGACTATTACAGGTAACCAAGCCCCTGGGGAAATTGGTTTTTAAGGTAAAGGTGATTTTTATTGTTGCTGTTAGGTGCCATCAAGTCCACTCAATGACCCTGTGAACAGCAGGTCTGAACCTTGCTCTAACCTGTACCGTCCTCACGCTCTCTGAAATGCTCCAGGCCACTGTTTCTTTTTTTTTTTTTCTATAATTATATTTTATTAATTTTCATAAACATTTACAGAGATTTTGGGC